CTGCCCAGGCGAGGCCCAGCCCCGGTGCCTTGTGCAGGGGTCCTAGCTGCTCTCTGCTGGGCTCCCCCCGCCCTGGCAGGCGCCAAAGGCCTTTTCAGTGCGTTTTCACTTCTTCCTGAGGATCCCCTGGGTCTGGGCTGAAATCCTCACTGTTTAGACAGGAAGCAGACCCAGCAGAGGCCCATCCAGCAGGCTCAGCGGGGCCTGGAGCCAAGACTGCCTGTCCTCCTGGGGAGCATCTGCCCCTCCCTGCCCTGTGGTCCCTCCCTCCTGGGTCCAGAGCCCAGAGGCCTCACCAGCTGGCTGCAGGGTGGTCCACGCCCCCTCCTCACTCCAGGAGCCTGTGCTGACCAGTGAGGCAGCAAAGGAAGCCCGGCCTGCCTCTCCCCTGAGGGTGTGTCTTAGCTCCGTTCTCAGAGCCTTTACTACGCCTGTCTTTGGGGGCTCCCCTGCTCACCCTGCGCACGTGGCTTGGAGCGAGCCCACACCCTGTGCAGGTTCATACACCCAGCAGGGTGCCCTTTGCCAGCTTCCCCGCCCCACCCCCTTCCTGGGCACTGCTCCCAGGGGCCTTCTGTCCCGGCCCTCCGGCTAGAAAGTCCGTGTTTCTGTCAACTCCATTCCCCCTCACTGCCTGTCTCAGGGCTCTGTCCTGCCACATGCCCACGGGGCAGACAGGAGAGGAAAGAGCAAAGGCAGGAGAACTCCCCACTCTTCCAGTGATGGGGCCCTTTCCTCCGCTCCTCTGGCCAGAGCGAGGGTTTCTCTTGCATTTTAGGGTCCCGGGACCCGCCACCGTCGCTGCCACGGAAGCGCAGCCCAGCGGCTGAGGCTAACCTTGGGGAGGGGCTGCAGAGAGAAAAGAGGAAAAGGAAAGAAATTGGAGATTCCCCCCCAAACTCTCCGCCCCAGGAGCCCATCCTCTCAGTCCTCTGTGGAGAAAGAGGGGGTCCTCTAGGGCTTTGGCCGTGGGAGCTGTGGGATGGATAAGGAGGGAGGCCCAGGATGCCCGCCCGCCCGCCCGAAAAAAAGGTTTCTCTCCCTCCAGCCCACTCCGCTGGCTGCCCAGGCGAGGCCCAGCCCCGGTGCCTTGTGCAGGGGTCCTAGCTGCTCTCTGCTGGGCTCCCCCCGCCCTGGCAGGCGCCAAAGGCCTTTTCAGTGCGTTTTCACTTCTTCCTGAGGATCCCCTGGGTCTGGGCTGAAATCCTCACTGTTTAGACAGGAAGCAGACCCAGCAGAGGCCCATCCAGCAGGCTCAGCGGGGCCTGGAGCCAAGACTGCCTGTCCTCCTGGGGAGCATCTGCCCCTCCCTGCCCTGTGGTCCCTCCCTCCTGGGTCCAGAGCCCAGAGGCCTCACCAGCTGGCTGCAGGGTGGTCCACGCCCCCTCCTCACTCCAGGAGCCTGTGCTGACCAGTGAGGCAGCAATGGAAGCCCTGCCTGCCTCTCCCCTGAGGCTCCGCCCTCACCTGCAGACCCGGTCAGGGGATCGCCCTGGATTGCCCTTTATCTTCTGGGGAACGTCCACTTCTTTCCTCTTGTTCCCAATGGAATTCATTTAAAATTAACAAGATCCAGCCCGGCCGGTGTGGCTCAGTGGTTGAGCGTCAGCCTGTGAACCTGGAGGGCACAGTTCAATCCCTGGTCAGGGCACGTGCCAAGGTTGTGGGTTCAGTCCCCAGTGTGGTGTGTGCAGAAGACAGCTGATCAATGCTTCTCTCATCGTTGATATTTCTCTCTCTCTCCCCCTCTCCCTTCTCTGAAATCAATAAAAATAAATTTTTAAAAATAAAAATTGACAAGGCCCAAAGTGTGAAATGGAGAAAATCAAAAAAGCTCCACAACGGGGAGGCCTGAGTGGACAGCAGGTCGGGAGGCCCCAGTGGACAACAGGTCGGGAGCCCCGAGTGGACAGCAGGTCGGGAGGCCCCAGTGGACAACAGGTCGGGAGCCCCGAGTGGACAGCAGGTCGGACTCTGTGCCAGGTGCCCAGGCACAGAGGCCGGTACTTGGAGCTGCGGCTCAGCCCTGGGCATTGCCGTCGGCCCAGGTTTCAGACTCGGGAGCATGTTCCGTCCCTGCAGCACCTCCGGGGTGGTCCCCACTGTCACCCTCTTTATAGACAGGGAAATGGAGGCCAGAGAGGGTCAGTCCCTTGGCCACGTCACACAGCCCGAGCCGACAGCACGGGCCCAGCCTCCTGCTGGCTTTTCAAGCCCAAGGAATTGTCCCCGACTCACGCTGCCGTGTGCGCGAGGCCCGCCTCCTCCTCCTTATCTCTTAAAGTGCACAGGGTGCCATTTCATGACGTGTTTAAGTCAGCGTTCCTTTTCAAGGTGAGGCCTTCAAGGTCAGAGGTCAGGGGTTGCCCTTGGCATCCCTAGTGTCTGTGGGATGAGTACTGAGTGGGCGGATGGCACTCGGGTTCTCCGCCTGTATGTGTGGGTCACGGAGACCTTGCGAGAATTTAGCGATACAGGAATCACCTTACCACGTCTGTAGGCTGGCTCGAGGCAGCCCTGGTGTTTTCTGATGAATGAGGTCACCAGACAGCCCGGGCCGCGGCTGGTGTGCTCTGACCAGACAAACTGAGGGCCTGGTCCCTGCACAGATTCTGAAGTTGCAGCTGGTTCTCAGGTCGGCCACCCAGGGCTGCCAGCTTTCATTGCAAATAACAACACAGGATACCCAGTTACACCTGAGTGGCAGAGCATTGATTAAGGATAAGTATAAATTTTTAAAAATATATTTTATTGCTTTCAGAGAGGAAGGGAGAGGAAAGATAGAAACATCAATGATAAGAGAGAATCCTTGATCAGCTGCCTCCTGCACCTCCTTATGGGGATCGAGCCCACAGCCCAGGCATGTGATCTGATCTGTAATAGAACCAGTGCCCTCGTGGTTCATGGGTCTGACCCCCAACCACTGAGCCACACTGGCTGGGCAAGTACCAATTTTTACCAAATTTGGGATATATTTGTGCTAAAAAAATATTTTGCTGTTTATCTGAGTTCAGTTTTCACTGGGCGTCCAGCTTTTTCTCTGAGGCTTCGTCTCAGGGTTTATCTGACGGTCCTCGCCCTCCAGGCTCCCCCCTTTGGGCCATCTGTGACCGACAGCTGCCGTCTCAGGGCCTGGCCAGGACTTCTGAGCACTGGCCTTCACCCTGGGGTCACCCCCTAGAGGGTGAGGCTCAGAGAGGGGGGCAACAAGGCTCCGGTGGGGCCGGAACCCTGGTCTCCTGGCTCCTAGGAGGCCGGGAACAAGACGCATGTTTTCACTCCCGTACAAATTTAACTTTATAACCCACCGCCCAGGAGCACACGGGGCCCGTCCTGTTGTGGCCGGGCTGCAGCCCTGCGGGTGGCTCCTCGGGGAGGAGGTGGACCCAGGGTGTGGCCCGCAAGCCCACCACCCACCGAGCCCGCGCCCTCCGAGGCGCTCTCTCTCTCTCTCTCTCTCTCTCTCTCTCTCTCTCTCTCTCTCTCTCTCTCGCTTCGCCCTCTGAAGGCTGGCCTGGCTTCGCGCTTTGAAGATTCCCTTTGAAAGGCCTTTCTGTTCCTTTCTCAGGAGGCGCCAGCTTCGGGGAGGTTTATGTAACCTCCGTGTCCTCGTCTCCCCCGCAGGAGCAGATGGGGACCAAAGGCCGCCTCCTTCTGTTGAGCAGCCCCGCTGGGGGTGGGAATGGGGGGAGGGCTGCACGGGCGGCCTGACAGGCCGTGTCCCGGGGTGGGCCGTCCTCCCCGAGCCCTGAGGCCCCAGTGACTCTCTCTCCTTCCCCACAGCTGCCCATGATGGGAGGAGCCTTCATGGACTCGCCCAACGAGGACTTCAGCACCGAGTACTCCCTCTTCAACTCCTCCACCAACATCCACGCGGCCTCCGGCGGCCAGGGCCCGCCCGAGGAGCCCGCGCGCTCCTCCAACGACGCCGTCCTGCTGTGGATCGCCATCATAGCGACGCTGGGCAACATCGTGGTGGTGGGGGTGGTGTACGCCTTCACCTTCTGAGCGGCACCCCGCGCGGCTCACTGCGGCGAGGCTGGGGCGGAGCGCCCACGTTCCAGAAGCAGGAGTTCCCCGTAGGGCAGGGCCCCTCCAGGGGCAGCGACCGAGCGTCTGGAACTGCCCCCCCGCGGCCCTCATTTCAAATAGCCCTGCTGTGGTCAAGCCGATCCAGAAGCCGGGAGTGTGAGCACCCAGCCCCCAGGGACACGATGGGGCGGGGCCGCAGAGGAGCAGGTGGGGGACGTCTGGTAACTGCTTCCCAAGAACAAGAGACTCCAGGGGACCGCCCGTTAGGCTCCAAACGCAGACATGGCGGGGCGATTGCTCCCCAGCAGCAAATAACCGCCTAGCCGTCTCCATGCCGACTCGTCACGCCTGGGGGTGGGGTGCCGGGCAAGAGCCCCTTCAGGGCCCGAGTGTCCCCACCCCCATCTCAGCCCCCGGGGATGTGGGTGGGGGCCACGTGAAGAGCCTTGGAACATTCCTCTTGTGACTTGCAGTTGACCCCTCTGTCACCAGACACCCGGCCCCTTAGGAGATCCCAAAGCGGCAGGAACCCCAAGGATGGGGGGTCGCTGGTGACACGTGGGGACGGGCGGTGGTTTCCGCCTGCTGGTGGGCTTCCTCTTCTTTTTGAAAAGAGGAGAAGGCGCCTTTCCGACGGAGACCTGCCGTCGGTTCCAGGCCCCACGTGAAGATGCGGGTCTGGGGCGTTCTCCGAGAATCCGCAGGATGTGAGGTGAACAGGGCTGTGTCCGCGCGAGCAGGTGGGGGGCGGCGGGCGCGGGGGCGGTGTCCCTGCTCCCCCGGCTGGTCCTGGAGGGAACAGGTCCGAGGGACGTGTCCTGACTCAGCTCAGGGCTCTCGGTGACCCTGCCTCCAGCTGGCTCCTGCCTTCTCAGCTGCTCTAGGCGACAGTATCCAGGGGGCTGCGCCAGGTGGGCAGGGCGTTCAGACACCCGTGCTGTCAAGTTGGTTCGTCTGCCGTGTGCTCTGCTGCCAGGGGGGGGTCCTCTGCCCATGTCGGTTCCCTGCATCCTTAGACGTCAGTGGCACCCTGGCCGGTGTGCAGGGGATACAGCCTCTCACCTCTGGGAGGTGAGCATGGAGCTGCCGAGGCAACGAGATGACCAGCCCGACCTCCAGACGGCGCCGGCCCATGGCCGCCAGCCCTTATTGGTCCCATCGTCACTGCGGCCACATGGCTGCCCTCAATGCTTAGCTCCATGGAGGTCAGGGGGTGCGGAGAGCTGGCGTGACATTGGAGAGGGATGTCTGGAGCCACTGACGGGGCCCTGCTCTCTGCAACACCAGCCTAAAGCCTGGGCCCTGGGGACAGGGGATTGGAACCGGAGGGCTGGGGCCTGGAGCCCTGAGCCTGGGGCCTGGGGATTGGAGCCTAGGGCTGGGGACTGGGGATTGGAACCGACGGCAGAGGGCAGGGTGGGGTGGGGGGCCTGGAGCCCTGAGCCTGGGGCCTGGGCTGGCTGTCAGCCACGGTGTGCCCACCATCAAGCCCCAGGGCTGCCCATGAGGAAGGCCTTTCTTAGACAGAGGGCCTGAGGCGAGGGTCTGACCTGGGATGGGGAGACTAGGTGGTGCCACTTTTAGTGGCCGGTGGCACATCCAGGGCACACTTACACCAGCCCTGAGTGTGCAGAGGTCGTTTCTCAAGGTGTGGCCAGGACCGGCTCTAGCTGCCACAGGTAGAAGTTTCTGGCTCCTGGGAATGGGGCACGCGCATGCCACTGCCCGGGGCCCTCTCTCTGCCCGGCTGCACGGGGAGATCGGGAGCCTGCCCCACTTTAGAGCTGAGCACAGCCTCTTCGTGTGGCCAGAGCCCGGCTTTCCCAGGATGCATGCAGAGGGGAGCCCCGAGGGCCCCCAAGGGTGAGACTCAAGCAGCCAGAATCGTGTGAAGGGTGTGGGACGGTCCGGGGGGCGTCCTGGGTCCGGCCAGGCCTCAGGCCTCCTGCTGCCCCGCCGGGTCCCCTGAGCAGGGGGCAGGTGCTCTCTCAGACCCCAGCCTGGGGCTCCCTTTTGGGCTTCTGGGTGAGGGGCCAGAGCCCCCCTGGACTCGAGGATCCAGTGCTGAGAAGGAGGGGCCGTCCTCTGCAGCGGCTGCTCCTCGGAGAAAGGGCTCTGCGTTTTCTGGAATGTTCTCTGCACATTTTAACCCCGTGTCCCTTTTGTGAGCTGTAGGTGTCCCACACGGGTGACGTTTGTGTGAGGGGCACCCCGGTGAGCAGAGCAGCGCCTGCTGTGCGAAGCCAGAGGACACGTTAGCCTGGCGTGTCCTAAGGGGATGCCACCCCTGTGGGGGCCTGGGCACGCTGACCGCTCTGCTGGCTCCTGCTCTGTCACGCTGCCCCTCCCGCTGTCCATGAGGTCAAGGTCAGGAGGCAAATGAGACCCCTGACCCACCCCACCCCCTTTCGGCATCAGCACTGTCGGGATCCAAGGGAGGGCCAGTGGGCCCCTCGGCTGGAGCGGCGACAGGCCACGTGCAGCCCGTTCTAAATGGATGGCCTGGGCGCCCGCTGGCCGTCAGCGTAGGTTGCCTCCCTCCTGGAGACACACGCCGCCCTCCGGACGCCTCCTGCTCCTGCCTGGCCGTGGGTCTCCGCCGGCAGGGCCTCCCCCACCGGCAGTGGTGACGCTATTAACAGTGACCCTCCCCGCAGTTCGCATTTCCCTGTGCTGCGTGCCGTGTGCAGCTCGTCCACTCCTCCAGCCTCGCCCGGGGCAGGCATGCGGTGCGGAGAAAGGCCTGGTCATCGTGACTGTCCGCTTTCCTGCTGCGAAGCTGAGGCCGGCCTCTGTGCCCGGAACGCTCAGCTCAGGATGTGCTTGCCCCCCTCTGCGGGCGGTACAGGCTGGGGGCTCTGGCGTCGCCCTGCGTCCGCACCCTCCTGAGTGAGCCCCCGGATGGCCTGTCCCAGGCCGGCCTCTGGCTGGGCCATGTCACCCCAGAGGAGGCACCTCGTGTCCGCCCGGGGAGGCGGCTTGAGTGGCGTGTTCACCAGTCCCCACCCAGGAGGCCTCCGAGCGCCTGCCGGGACCTGTAATTCTGGGAACAGCAGCTGGGGCCACGCAGTAGGTTAGTGGGGAGCTGTCAGGGCGGACACCTGGCCCTGGCACCCCCTTCCCGCATGCTGGGGTGACCCTGGGTTACCAGCCCAGCCCTGGGACCGGCATCCTGTTCTCTGCCACCTTCAGCTGCCCCTTTGCCAAGTCCTGGCAAAGGCCCTTTGTCCCCAGAGCAGGTGGGCTGGGCCGACCGGACGGGACGGCCAAGGAGCAGCGCTCAGGGCCAGGGGGAGCAGCCAGAGGCAGGGGACCCAGCTCTCACCCCGCCCGCTCCAGGGCCCCTGACCCGGTGGTTCAGCGAGAGGGACAGACAGAGGAGGGGATGGGTCAGCGGGGCCCCAGAGCCTAGGAACGGGGTCGCTCATCTCAAAGCATAAAAGGAGCCGGGGAGCAGGGTAAGCAAGGCCAGGGAGTCCCCGCGAGGCGCTCCTGAGGTTCCACCTTCTGCCCGCCCTTTCCCTTCGGGAGGAGGGGCTGGGAGGGTGGGGTGCAGGGGACCCCCTCCTCCTGACCCGAGAGACCGAGGAGAGGACGGTCGGATTGCCCCGCGTGAGGAAACCTGGCTCCCAGGAGCGTGGTGGCGTGGCCGCGGGTACACACGGGCCACCACATGCGTTTGGACTGTGAGTTTGCCTTGTTTGTTCTGAGTCCCTGTAACGTTAGCATTTTTGTCAGGAAACCTCATAAAGGCAGAGGGAGCCTGGGACGGGCTGCACCGTGGCGGTGCCCGGGAGGCCCTGAGTGCCGGCGCCAGCCTGAACTTGCTCCTGTCCCGACCGCCATCCCTTCCCTCACCGAGCCCCTCCATGTGCCTGAGCGGCACCCCGGGACCAGCGTCTGTCTCATTAGCCGTCTTCCCCCCAACACGAGTCATGTGCTGTCCCCACGACCCAGAGGCCTGACCAGGGCCCGGGAACCTGGCGGGGGGCCTCCCACCTTTTGCTCTCGAGGACACGGGCCTCCGGGAGGACTGGGAGGTTGGCGGGCCGGGTGGGCCGGCAGGAGACCTGGGTGTGGAGCCCAGGGCATCGAGCCACAAAGGTTCTGAACTGCCGGGCAGGCGAGTGCTGCTCCACCAGGGACACTGTCCCCCGGGGTGCTGGGGCCAGGTCTGCAGGAATTCCGGTTTGCACAGCCTGCAGGCGAGGAGGCGGCGACACAGCTGACCAGTCCCACGACGGAATTCTCTGGCCCCCCAAGGCCCCTGGTGCCAGGGCTGGGAAACCCTCAGGAGGCCGTCCTGTCTCTGATCCCAAAACTGTGGTATTTCCCTAAGGTCCCCTCTCACCCTCTTGTGAGTCATTGAATGAGTGTGAGCTCTTCAGAGTAAAGCAGCTGCCAGGGCCGCTGCCTCCAGTTCAGACAGTCTCAGCCTGGGTGCAGGGAACCCCGCCAGGGGGTGGGTGGGGCTGAGCCCATCCCTCGCCTCCACCCAACAGCGACCCGAGGGACCTGCCCTCCGCCAAGGCCTCCAGAAGCAGGGTGGATGGGAGAGCCTCGAAGGGATGGAATGGGGGTGCCTGGCCGCCTCTGGGCAAACCCACGTCTCTCTCGTTTTTGACCTGCTGCCCGCGCCCGCCCTCCTTCCCCAATCACAGGCTTACCGCCTTGTCTCTACTCCCTGAGGTTTTACAGAAAACGTGTTCTTATAACTAGCCGCCCTCCAGAACCAGTTCCTCCCCAGAACCGGAAATGTTGCTGTGCGTTGTTAATGTTTTCATAACCAGCTTGTAAATGTAAGCCGCCTCCTGAATAAAGAGAGGATTTTAACTATGATTCTCATGGCCCTTCACTCCCCAGCCCCTGCGTCAGAGGAGTGCCAGCGTTCACTGCGGCGAAGAGGCTCTTTCCCGCACAGGGTTTCCACGTGCTCTTCGGATTGGGAAGGTCTGGCCGCCTGGGTGTGAGGCTGGGGCTGTGGCTCCGTGTCCCCGGCGGCCGGCGCTGGTCCTGTCCCGGTGGGTGTCT